TATTTATACATACACCTAAATTTTATAAACCTAAAACGCTTTTACGTCTGCAATTTTCTTCAATTTTAAAGGAAGAGACTAACTTAGGCGCCAAAATGAACCAAACTTGCTGCAGATACTAAAATTTCATCAGCCATACTAGTGTAGAAATGAAATTGGTATTGTCAAACACTTTTTGTTTAGGGATAGCGTGTGACGCATGCAGCAGCATTTTTGAAAACGTTAAAAATAAGGCTTTTAAATAAAGGATTTTTGCTCAGACTTTATGATATTCATTCGATATTTAGCTCACTTCCTTCTCCCCAAAAAACTGTCCAGTTGTGGGAATTGCCGATATCGGCAATAGCGTATAGCGTGTAACTGTTATAAAAACTGACCGATCCGATTAAAATATTTATATTGTAAACTCTTTTATTTGATAAGATATGGAACAAGTCGTTCGGATAAGATATATTGAATATGTAGAACACCGTGGAAAAAACAACGGCTGCCGCTAATAGTAAGGTAATAGGAGATCCCAAATTGCCACTATGCATGCTTGACAAACCGATAGAGCACTATAAAAGACTACTTAAACATAGACTTGAAGCGGCTATCAACAAAGCTGAAGGACACTCCACTGGACAGCACGGCAGATCAACTGTTGGAGCTATAAAATGTCACATTGTAAGTGTAGAAGCCGTACAGCTTAGATGACACAAAATTTAAAAGAATAATAGTGCTGGCGGCTTTAAATGTCCGAAACTCCTTCAACAGCACTTTGTGGGCGAATATGAACGATGCTCTCGAAATAAGCTTTAAAATCTCCGACTATCTCCGAATCACCGCTCGGACATTTGCATAACATGCAAATGTTATTCCTAGGACACAAAAAGCAGTAAACTACCTAAGCGTAATACTGGACCAAAGACTAGGGTACAGAGTACAAATTCAGCACGCTGCAGAAAAGGCAAGGAAAATCACGTCCCAACTTTACAGATGAATGGGCATGAGCAATTTCTCACTGCGTAAGCACATATAGGCGAATTGCAAATATTCCACAAATACAATAAGCGAAGGAACAACAATAAAAACCAATTAAAACATATGCATGTGTGTGCGTTTATACGAAGTGGCGAGTCATTTATTGCACTGTTAACCCTTTTAAGCGACACTTGAAGCAGTTATGACCACCGAAAACATATATGCATATTCATATGTATATTCATACTCAGTAAAATGTTTGAAATTTCAATAGCGGTCACTAGCGGCACCGTTAATGATTGAAAAGTGCGTGAAGGGCTCACATATGTAGATGTTTGGGAGTTTCCAGTTGTATACCACATATACACATATGCATGCATAATATATGTGCATGCGTGCATGCAAAAAAAAAAATGGAAAACAAAATTTAAGCCGTTATTTATACACACATATATACATACAATAAATTCATGCCTTTCAGGTACACACCTAAAAAATTAATATATGTAAATAAAAGTATATTTTTCTGCTCGTGTTTGGGTTGGATTTTATGCTATCTTGTTGAATACACATATATACATACATAGACATACATAGACACACATAGCCATACAAATATACACAATCACGCATATAAGAAACGAGTTCTTCTCGGCCTTCTGCGAAGTTTACTCACCACAGAGCAGGAAATGACAAGATTGCGGTTAGAAAGTTTTATTTCCAACAACAATATAAATAAAAATAACATCGAAAAACAATATAAAAACAGAAGAAACCAAAAAAGTTGTAGTTAGATCTTTTAAATAATAAATAACAATTTGTGAGATGAAGATTGGATAGAAAAGTTGTAAATAAAATTGCGAAACAACAGTGAACTTTTTTTAAAAGCAAATGCAAGTCGGAAAATGAAAGAGAACAAATATAAACAAAATAAAAACAATTTTAAAAAAGATAAAAGGCATAAAACTTTTTGAGCCTTAAACAAGTAACGAAGGCTGAGTTCGGGTGTAAGCGAACATTTTATACCCTTGCAACATGCCAGAAACAAAGCCAAGGGCATATTTAAAGCTGTAAAGCCTCAAACAGAGCATCGCAAAAACGAAAATCATTATTATGTAGTATATGGCGGTTGGGGTAGTGTTGACCAGATTTTATCTATTTTTCCCAGTACCACATACTATTAACATGTCACATATAATATTAAAAAAACGAACCATATGCAGTAAAGTCTGCCGGATAATAGTTACATATATGTACATATATGTATATTATATAGGCTAGATCAAGTTTTCACTCAAATTTATATATTTGAGGCACAAAGATACACTGTTATGAGTAAAACTCCTATTTTCATTGGGATAACTCATATATTGGCCAATATGCCGTACAGTGTCAAGCAGAAATTTAAAAATCTTTACATTAAGTATATGGAGCCTAAGGGAAGTATTGTTCCGATTCAAACCATTTTTTACATGCAGACAAACCCACCGTCAATTTTAGTGCAGATATTCGGTATGTAGGAACTTGGACATTTTTTGTTTAATATGAAAAGTTTTTGATCATTCGGTTGGCAAGCTATAGAGGCATTATTCGTGTAAAATTTTATGCGGTTATATTAATTGCTTCTTGATTTGTATATTGGAAAGTGAAGCATCTGGATTAAACGAATTTTAGTAGTGCTATGGATTCAAGTAATACATAAACATTAAAACTGAAATACAAAGAGGTTTAAAGGCTCGGGTTCAGAAAGCCTAATAGTTATTTAACGTGAGGCACAACCTATGACTACATCTACATCTACTAGCTACACTTATATGCTCGTTGAACCCAACAACACCCACCCATGTTTTCCTTCTTTCACGAGTTGCTGTGTAAAATAATAAATTATAATGAAATGCACTCCGTTGAACTCGGAGAAAATTAATTACAATCAAATACTTTTTACCGACTTTTATCACCGTGACCTTGGCGTGGCGCACAGACAGTGCTAATGCCTGAGGTCCACCGGTTAAAAGCAATCGAATGAGCAAATTGCGAAAGGTCTGACCTTTTGTACAGCACAATATCAATTTGTAATTGAGACTGTGTACCAAACAGAAGTGTGTCAGAGAGTGGGATTAAGTGTGAGAAATTGTGGAGCGATGTAAAAGCGCTGAAAAGTACTTGTTAGATAATTTATTGCTTTCATCTTTTGGAATGAACACATTTTATGCTGAATTTATTTTATTTTTTTTAATTTTAATGTTAATTTAAATTTAAATATAAGTTTAAATTTTAAAATGAATTATAATTTCAATTTTACAATCCATTTTTAAATTGAATTTTAGTTTTTATTTTAGTATTAAATAATTTAATTGCTTTGA